TATTTTGTTTATATAGTTTTCGGAGAAAATTAAACAATATTTTTTTATGAGAACATAGATAATATAATAAATATACTGTTCCAGACCGGGCCAGTCACTTTTTCAAACAGTTTCTGAAATATCTGTGTTTTCTAAATTTAAATGCGTGTATACCAGGGTACTAATTAAATACATAATTTATTGAAAAATATCAGATTTATTGCAAGTTTGAGCATATTATACATTAAATATCGTAAAATCAAATAATACCACACATCAGTGGCGGCTGGTGGATTTTGGGTATACCGATATCTCAATTATTAGATATGGGACCCACACCAAATTTATATGAGTTTATAATGACATTAAATAAACAAGTTCTGCGCAAGCAGAATTTAAATTGAAGTTTGCGAAAAAAATATAACCGAAACATCGAACATGGAACTGACGACACAGTACTGATGAATAGGATACAAATTTTAGATTATAATTAAGTATTTTACTGATATTTTTTATTAGTGGATGCTACTTATCAACAAATCACATATAGCCTTATATAAATTACAATAAAATATATATACGTAAGAAAATAGCTACTCACCACAGTACTGAAATTTTGACTGGAACTATACGTGCATTCACCACAACTTCGCCGCTTGCATTGTTTTCAAGATGACTGTCGTGCAAAGGGCGGGCTCTGTAGGTAATTTTTTACCAACACTTGAGTTAAAACGAGGACTTGACGTTTAAACTTCAATATTTCGCAGGAATTTTGAATTTTAACATTGGACACAGAACTGACGGGTAAAAGTGAGTTATTATCAGAATCACCCATATAGGATTTTGTTGTTAAATCTGGACCTGGATTAACATAAAATCTGATTAATATTTGGTTAAAATTAACAAATATTTAGTTACTGTAATTTTCAACTTTTTATTTCAGTTATAAGCACAGTGGGTGCAAAAACACTTTTACCAGGAAAAATATTTTTCTCTTGCACGCAGTAGCCATAATAACTTATTTTAAATTTATTGCTCATAAAACAACCATAGTTCAAGCAACAGCAGCGGTCGAGCACGTTGCATAAAGGAGCGGTTCTCTCCACTCGGACGTTGTTAGATTGTTAATTCACAGCCGTTTGCAGTTTGCATGTGCAATTTTGCGCGATAACGATGCTTATTTTTTCACGTGGGCTTTTCTGTATGCAAAAATGCCAAACGCATCAATTGGTTACAAATTACCAGACGCACAGTGCGAGAAATGCAAGAGTTGTCTGGAAATTTGTTTGTGACGCGCAGAATAACAATAGTGCCACAGTTATTTATACATTTGGGTCATTTTCAAGAAAATGAAGATCAAAATATTTTTTTGATTAAATTGACTTTTGGTTGGATTTTTATAAATGTTTAGAGTTTTGTTTACTTAAATTTAAGACAGGCAGTGCACTTTTTAATTTTTTTACGTTTTTTTCAGAAAAATGTGTTTAGCTAGCTTTATATATCTCCACTGTGTTACCAATTTGAAATCCAAAATTTAATTCAATAAAAAAAGTTGTTATAAAAATAATTTGAAATAAAATGTACTTAGTTCATTTTTTATTTTATTTTTTTATTAAAAATTGTATGCTTTTTTTTTAAATATGTATGTTCGTTAAGTTACTTTAAATAAAAACCATTCCGATTCTTTGTTAAAAAAACAATACCATTAATATTTTCTCTAATTTATAAACACGTATTACCAAGTAATAGTGTATAAAAATCATTTTAAGTATTTTTTTTAACAAAAACTAAAAAAAGTAACGAAATAGACATTGGTATCACAACGGACAGGGGTACACAAAGGACTTAATCAGATAACGTAAAAAAGAAACTATATAGGGTGGTACGATTTTAGAGTAATGCATAAACAAAATCCCTTGTAGTGGTTCTCACTTGCAGAATAACAACTTAGATTTCTAAATTGTAGACACCCTTTTTCTTTGGCTATAAGCTGGTGAAGGTTCCTTTTAGTACTTTTATATTGCGTGGAATTTTTCCTTGGATGTAATCTATATCATGAGTTGTAATTACAAATAATTTTAAATTGGTTAATCATAAACTACTTTTAATAAAAGCGACGGTAAATATTCACTTTGTTGTCGAAAAATTCTATTGCGTTACCCTAAATTCCATTGCGTTACCATAAGGTAACATAGTGGACTCGGTAACGCAGTGGACAAAGTTTTGTAAAACCATATTTAAAAAATAATAATAAGACATTATAGTCATTAATTACTCTCAATGAGCTTTAGTGCCCTAAAATAAACATAAACATGAAAAATAGTATTTTTTCTTACCTTATTTTTATTATTTTTTTGAGTAACTTAGCGGACAAACAATTATTACATTCGCGTTACTCGCACCTGTTTCAACCGATATCTTCTTCCTGATTGAATAAATAAATTCAGCTGGGTAATGTGTACGTCCGAACATCATTTGTTGATCACGAGAGTACCAAAAAAGTTGCCATATATATGTTTTTTTTAATATTCTATCGGTAACGCGACGGACGTAACGCAACGGAAAAAATGTCTGGGACACGAGTCAAATTTAAAAAAAGTAGATTAATATTGATTATTTTATATATAAATTGTTTACTGTATTAACTAAGGATGTTAAAAAATTATTCTGAAGTATTATTTTTTTAATAAGAAATGTTAGGGACATACAAGCTTTACGACAACACCCTGTATAACCGTACGTTATGAAATTGAATATATCATTCTTTAAAAATATTTTTTTTTGATTTCACAGTTATTTAAACATACAAACAAATTAACAACTTCGTGTTAACTAACCGTTAAATTCGAGGAACAAAATTCGGCAGACAACAATTTCGAAATTGGCAATTTGCGATGAAGCAACGCCCTCTCTGCAATTACGCTCGGTTTGCACTTAGACTGTGACAGTGCGCGGCGGTGTGTCCCAAGGTCGCGACTCAAACAGTTTTCGGCAATTAATCGAATTCCCCGTCCCTGACTCACAGACACACCGGGCTATTTTTACAAGGCCACATAACAATTGCGAATCGGGCTTAACTTGCATGCACACGCGCTTATTACATTGGATAGGTCACGGTCCCGAAAAGAAGAAGAAGAATAACCACCAGCTAGTGTTGTCACTGAAAAAAAACACTCTTGTTTTTTTTCAAAAAAAAATGTTTTTTTTTTGAAAAAAAACAGAGGTCCTTGTTTTTTTTCAAAAAAAATGTTTTTTTTCAAAGAAATGGTCAAAAATACTCAAATTATATTAAGTGACAGGATTTTCGAAATGTCACTGCTGAGGAAAGAATTTTTGGCATTTTTTCTGTCACTAGAAGATTATTAAATACTAATTATAGTTTCTTACTTACCATTAGTAATATTCTTAAACAAATTGTTTAACGTTGTTGGCTTTCGCCCTGAGCCTTTTTTTTTCGGCATTTCTACCAACTATGCATCAACCTATAGAGCCGCAGGTCTTAACTCTTCTATTATAATACCGAATAGACTATACGATATGCTAAGTCAGCATTGCCGACAGCGAGGCGCCCTTTTACCATACGTGGGTGAGAATGAAAAAAAACAACTTTTGTTTTTTTTCAGTGAAAAAAAACATGTTTTTTTTCACGTGTTTTTTTCAACTGAAAAAAAAACGTTTTTTTTACAACACTACCACCAGCCAAATGTCAGATTTTTGGCTACGGCTGTTTTTTGATGTTTTAACAAATTATCGGAATATTCGTCAAAAAATAAATTTTAACCAAATATTAACCAGATTTTATGTTAATCCAGTGGATTTTATCAAGAAAACTGCATCTCTTAATTGAAAAGCTTAGGAACTTTCTAAAAAAGAAAATTTGTCTATTATTTAAGTAAAACCTATTGGTGGTAGTGAATAAAACGAAAAGGTAAATAAAGAGAAACATTTATTTGGAACAAAAATCTATGACAATTATCAAAATCGGTGCCTTTTAAAATATAATTTTATATTTGAGTCGTATGGCTGGCTTAAGCAAAATGGTTCCTAAAAACGTAAAAGTTTTAGATCAATGCAATGTTTTACTGGCTGTCAACTTGTAAGCAATAGATTATCTTGAGAATTCATCAGTAATCCATTTTTCTGTTATAAAAAATGGGTGATCCCATTGGTAGAGAGGCGTCAGGCGGCTCTACGCCGGGGATTTACCACACGTGTACAAATTTTCCATTATATTAATAAAAATGTAGGTATAGGTTAATATAAAAACCATTACGCTTAAAAATAAAAAGTAAATCAAGTGTGTATGTATTTATATTATTAATGTTACAAGTACCCGACCTACTGCCGTAAATTATTGATATATAATATAGGTCGGGTATGGACATCTTTTTAACATATTGGTATTTATTGAGTATTAAGGCTTAAAGAAAAAGGAAGTATAATACTTTCCATGATACAATGTGCACTAGTAGTGTAAAGAAAAAAGAGCTCTTAGTAACATCAAAACAGACAAAGAAATTGGCATGCACTATAGTGTACATTTTGTCACTATTTAACACATTAAGGGGTAATAAACACTCGCATTAAGTTTTTCTACCCTTTTGATTTATTTTAATAATAAATAGTGTGAATGTACCAATGAATAATGTTCATATTCTTTAAATGTGTTTAATAAAAATAAGCACTAAATGCTACCTAGTGTATTTTGTAGTGTAACTTTTACACTTACAAATTAACTCTAATAATTTTACCCCTACACTAAAAAATTTACAAGGGCAAATTTTTTTACTGTGTTTTTTATAGAATTACAATATTACATCACTGCCCCTAGAAAATGGCGAATTGCAAGTTGCAATGAAACAAAACGCAAACGGTGTGCATCCCTCCCATGTATCAGAAGCTACCAGATTTTGTTAGAAAATTGACATGCTATTGGGATAATTGTGATGTATCTTGAATGAATTGCGTAAATATAAATAAATATTTTGTATATTTAAACATTAAATTACATACTAGAGTATTTCTTTAAAAAATAGACAAAATATTATAGATACAAACTGGAAAAAAAAAGTTTTGTGTGAATATAGATAGATAATAACACAATTACTAAAAATAGTGTGAAAATGTGTAAAATTGTTAAAATAAGTAAAATAGTTTTAATCCCATTTGTGCAGATATTCCTCATGTTCCTTTGCTTTTATTTCCTTCCATTTTTTGACATTTTCGGGAGAATAGCCTGTAAAAAATCGTAGAGAAAAAAAATAAAAACATAATTAACTTACTCAATTTCATTAAATAGGCAAAAACAGGTATAGATCCAATGACACCAAATACATAATATTTGTAGTACCAATTTGTGTCATAGTGAAATTTCCATGGCATCTGTACAATCTTCGCTGTAAAAGTGTATGGAAACTTCATAGGTCTTTGCCCGTGAAGCTGAAATCCTCTCTTGTATCCGCCACCAGAGGCGGTCTTATCCATTTTTGGCATCATGTTTTTGCGGTTCCTTAAAAAAATGGATTGGTTTTAGCAATAAAGATACGAAATGTGTTCAGAAAATAACGGGAATTGTTAAATTTCGCGGGTTCGGAGGGTCCGGTTGTCATAAAATTTTCTTTGTTATGTTGGTATACATGCCCCCGAAGTATATGATAAAAACTTTAGCTGTTTTCATTGTTTACTTTGTCTGTGGCAGCCGCTAAGGTTAGACGTGTTTTATGAGCTCGGCGATTTTTCGTTCGTTAAAAGAAATGGATTTGTATCCAATTTCGCTTAAAAAATGAAATAAATTCTGTGAAATGTTAGCAAAGGCCTATAGTGAGTCTGCTATAAGTAAAACAAGAGTTTACAAGCGGTATAAGAGTTTCCAAGATGGCCGTGAAGACGTTGAAGATGACGAACGCCCCGAACGCACAAGCACATTAACAACCGATAAAAACATGAAAAAAGTGGAAGAAATGGTTATAAACCATCAGAGAAGTCGCTGATGATGTTGGTATATCGATTGGCTCATCCCATGAAATTTTTTCGAATGTTTTGGATATGAAACGCGTGGCAGCAAAATTTGTTCTAAAATTGTTAAATTTGGAACAAAATTTTGGCCAAAAACAATACTGTAATGATGCCTCAGCCTCCATATTCGCCAGACATGCCTCTGTCTGACTTTTTCCTATTCCCAAAAATAAAGAGAACCTTAAAGGGCCGTCGTTTTGCAAGCATAGATGACATTAAAAGCGCATCGCTGAAAGAACTAAAGGCTATCTCAAAAATCGAGTTTTAGAAGTGTTTCGAGTATTGGAGGAAGAGCTGGCCCATGTGCATAAAATCCAATGGGGACTATTTTGAAGGCGACAACATTAATGTAGACGAATAAATAAATATTTGTTTCAAAAAAAAAAAAAATCCCGATATTTTCTGAACACACCTCGTAAAATTTACAAAATGCGTTTTTGTTCTCTTAGAATTTCTTAAAAACTTATAGTTACGTACTTAAACTTGTCCATCCCATTTTTAAATAGCTGCTTGTAGTCGTAGCACCTGCAAACGATTTCATGACAAATGTATGAAAAATAACTTTATGCGTTGTGAAAGTTAAAACGAACATTTATTTTTTGTGTGTCCAAAAATGTTGAGTAAAATTGCTTGTAGAATTTAAATCACATCGAATGCAATTTGCATACTTTTACTTTGTATGTTTTTATGTAGGAGTATGTCATACCTACGTATGTTAAGTACCTACTTTAAAAATATCTAAAAAATGTAATGTTGAAAAATTGGGTCACATTTGATTTACCGTATTTTTTCCATCGTCTTGTCTACTGCGTCTTTAAAACTAAAGCATCTAAAATAAACACAATAAAATAATATAATATCTACATATAACAATATATTTTGATAAAAATAATACCGTATTTTTTCCATAAGGTTGAATTTGGGAGGTTTTGGGATCTTCATGTGTTTCTGTAAAAAAAATTATTTTTATTGTGTTTTGTTATGTTATAGTAATCACCTTTAAAATGTTAAAATCTTTCCTAAAAATAAAATGTCAGTTAATGTGTCAATAAATTAATTTATTTATCAATAATAATAAAACCAGATTAATTTAAGATAACTTGATATATATATTGTCACTAAAATTTTTTCTTGTTTTAGGTGAGATTTATTTAAATGTTAAATACATAATTTTTTTGTAAGTAATGTAACGATAACGTTAAAATTACTTTTTTATTTTAATGAATGATTTAAATTTAAAAAAAGTTTCTAAAATTAAAAAAAAAACACTGATTATTTTTTATTTTTGGTTGTTTTACTGTTAGTCTAGAATGGGTTTTTTGGGAAGCCACCAGGTCTAGTAATAACATAACATAAGTGGTTCTGCACTAATGCAAGAATTTAAGAAATTATACATTTTGAATATTAGAGCTTCACGGAGGTTAGGATTTCGTATGTTTTTTTAAACATCCCTTTGTATATTCGAAATAAGTTATTGTATCTTTTGACACCTTAATATTTTTTAAAAATACAATTGTACATACATAAAATATTTATAAAAAATATCTACTTACTGAAATATTACACTTTACGGTGGATAGGTTTTTAAATAGCAAATTAATGAACTTAAACTTTTGAATTATAAAACAGCAACACTATCATCTGCATAAAAATTCAAACTGCCTTCAGGAATCACATGCATCTATAATGTCGTAAACGGAGGTTTTTGCTTATTTAAAATGATTAAACCTCCATCCGTTGCATAAAATTTAAAGCAAAAACAGATTCACGGAGGATAGAATTAATTTTTGTACCACCTACATAAATGGTTATAAATGGAGGATAGGTTTTAGACTTTTAAAACATTGTAAAAAATAAATAATTGCGGTTAAAAATCTAGAACCTGAGCTGTAATATCTACTTTCTACAATGGGATAAATATAATAAAATGGCAAATTTTACACTGACCTCCCTTCGATGTGGATGTATTTGAATTTGGTGGCCGGTGTATAAAAGCTAGCAAATTTACTTTATTTGTAGACATTACCCGTATGTTAGTGTTAGTATAAGTGTATATGTATAGTGTACACTGCAGCCAGACTGAAGTAAACACGGGTATGCAGGGCAATGCATCAATCCAAGGTTACTGTTAATACAACCTCTGGCCGCCCGTCCTGATATTCGCAGGAACAGCGGCGCGCCAAATAGCATAGCAGGATAAAAAAAAATTAAATTTTTTTTTTATGAAAATAATACAGCTCTGATATTAATTTCAACAGCAAGATTTATTAAAAACGTCTATTGTTAAAAATATAAATATACATTTTCCTGCAAAACTATATAAATAGTAAAATTGCACATTCATAAATAAAACCATTCAGTTTTTATGATTCATAATGCAAAAACTTTACCTTTAACTTTATTTAGAATGAAGGTCAATAATTTTTAATGTTTTGGAAATACATAACAACCATTTCGGTTATAAAATCATAAAGTTGAAACAATATTCAAGAATATATGTACATTTGAAATAAATAACATAAACATAAGTTTGTCCTAAAATTCTTCCTTACTGGGATAGAGGGTGTCAAAAATTATTCTGTATTTTTTTTAACGTTTTTTAAAATTTTAAACACCCTGTATCTTGAAATCTAAGCATTCCCAAATACACGTTACATAAATTTCTTAAAATTATACAAAGAATCAAGGTGTCCAGGGTAGTATATGAAAAACCCCGAATAACAAATTTTCGCAATTTTGCAATTTATGTGAAAGACAAAAAAAAATAATTTTTAACACCTTGTATTTCAGTGGGGAAGCATTTTAACATAAAATATACTCAGGAAACACCCTGTACATTTCAGGGTCAGGGCCGGTTCCAGGATTTCGTTTCTAATCATTGTTCTAGGGCCCTGTATATTATATTATAGTTTTAATAAAATACTATGGTAAGCATTCATAATTAAATAAAACAGGATACAATGGGACAGATAAAAATTAAAATAATGATATATTTTGTCGTGATGAATTTTAAGTTGTTGACATGTATACAAAAACAACTTTTTTATTCTTTGGTTAAGAAAAAAACAATTTTGTACAAAAATGTCTTTAAATATCAAAAAGAAATTTAGTTTCTTAAATTAAAATGACATTTCCTGAAATCAATAGTTTTCAATTTTAGATTATACTACTTTTCTATAGAAAAGTAAAAAAAATGGTTAATTTTAACCAAATAATAACCAGATTTTATGTTAATCCAGGTCAAGTTTAAAACCAAACTAATTGAATAAATATACTTATTCAATTAATTATTAAATCTACAAAATTACAAACTATAGTTAGTTGTCAGTTGAAGTTGATGCGTATATACAATAACAAAATAATCTGTTACCTTTGAAATTAACAAAATGCTTACAAAATTACATATTACCTTTACAAAACTATCGGTGAAATATTTTCCTTTGTTAAAATGGTTTTCTACAAAAAATTATGTTAAAATTTTATAAAATGTTTAATGGCAGAATTTGATCAGTTTAAATGTCAAAATGTTCATTCTACACTGAAAAATTTCTCTTGGTGTATACATACACTATTGTTTACAATTGTTATTGTTCTGATTTAAATTCAAATCACAATTTATCTTTTAAGCTCTATAAAAACGCCATTAAACAATTCCAACAACTCCTAACGACCGAGTAGTTAAATTTTCTTATAAATAACCCATAAACCATATCGAATTACTTCTACTTGCTATATGCACCGTATAAAATGTATCAAAGTCGGCTCTCAACGCGGTGCACCGTCTACTGTTTGCATATGCATGCTACATATAATACCTATATAACACATATGCATATGCATATAGTAGGGATGTTGAGATAGGCATGTATAACAGCCTTGTTCATCATCATCATCTACAAACACGTCTCCGTCAGAGGAGGCGCAGCCTATATAATTCTGGTTGGCCTTGAAACCATATGTAAGCATGCATCTATCTCTTCGTGCCGTGTTGCCAGGTCTTCGCCAAACTTTTCATTTTTATCCAATTTTCTATGATGTTTATTGTGAAGAAATGATTTTAATAATAAAATTAAAATAAAATAATGATTTGTTATTCCACAATAATAAAAAACGTTTTATTTACGCTGAAATTATGAAAAAAACGTTTTTTTAACACTGGTAAACTCAAAATTGAAATAAATAAAAAATCCCTAAACTAGGTATATTTAAGGCGACGTGGGCAACGCTGTGCGGCTCTCGTGTTCGGCGTCTGCACCGTCGCACGAGATGCTCCAACTTAACCGTAGACTCGCACAACAAACGCTAGCTCTCGCGTCGTAGCCGCAGTTTGTTTCCATTTCACTGCATACCGTAAAAAGTGCGAAAGTTTTAGCTACGCGATTTTCCTGCAAAACATTTTCGTGCTATGCATGTACATTCGTTGGCCCTGTGTTTGTTGTTGTCAGTGTAGATAAGTGTAGATTTAAGGAATATATTTAGTGTCTAACTTTAAGTGTTTAATGTAAGTATTTTTATCAAAAAGCAATAACCTTATCTTGTTTGTTGTTTATTGTATTCACTATGAATATAAACAATGTAGGTCGCAAACAATTAATTAAACAGGGTAACCAACATAAAAACGTAAAAAACAAAACAAAATACATCCAAATAACTAAATCGTAAAATATCCAGTGCACATTTTTATACATAACAAAGTATTTATTGTTTAACCACTTTTTATCACAATCATGACGATAATAAATCCATAAATTTACTGAACGGATATAGGTTATGAAAATATTTATTTAACAAACAAACTTTGCCTTGGGAGACTTAAAGCGTATTTCATGCTATTTGTTGAGGTAGGTTAAATAAAAAATAACTCTATATAACTTTTTTATTAATTAACTAAAAAAAAATTATTCTGTTTGTTTCTTATTTATTTAATTATGACAAACTTACAAACAACATAACATTAAACACAGGGTGTTTCTTACATTTACATTTCCAAAAATAACTCATTAAAACTCATTTTAGTTCAGTACAGGCCTGTTATTATGCACTTATAGAAAATTTAACAGACAGACAACACGGTAAATCAAGATGTCCTTGGAATCGTAGCCTGCTGCGGTCGGACAGTTGCAGCGCAGGCAAGAAGTCAATTTATTTTTCTTATCTCTCGCCGCTGTTATCATAACATCCTTGCTATATAAGAGCGATTTGTTTTTAAGCATGAATAGGGATTTCTTTGTGGTTACAATGTTTAAGAATATACTATGTAATACATTTCATGTATTAAATTTGGTTCATAAACTATTTAGAAGAATAATGAACATTTTATTAAAACAAAACTCAAAATCTTAAGGGGTTAAAAAAGTACAGGAAAATTAGCTATAAATATAAAATTTTAAATAATTATTTAAAAAAATTTAAATTTAAAAAAATTCAAACAAATTTTAATTTTAATTACTTTTTTTTAATTATTATTTACAATAATTCAATTTTTTTTTAAATCAAAATGTAAAGGTTTAAAAAATAATAAATTACTTATCTTTTAGCCTATAAATCTTTAAAAAATTTCACATAAATAATATTAAAAAAAATTGTTCATTATATTGAGAAATTGGCACAATAGCATGGAAATTATGTCGAGATATTTATTAATGCGTTTTTGAGTAAGTGATGATATGAGAAATAAATATTAAAATATAAAAATGTTTTCTTGGCAATCTTAACTAAATTGTTAATGGCATTTCGAATGTGCAGCCGCCAAATTTTTCGTATTGATTGAGTACACAGGATGTGCTTAAATATAATTTTAATTTTAATAACTTCATTTTTTAAATTTTCCGAGTGGCTAATAAATTTAATAATCCCTGATGACTTTTTCGTTTGTTTCTGCGACATCAAAAACCTTTTATATTAATT